GACATAGCCATTACACTAACTGCTGGTTCCCTCATTTTTTTGTTTTTTCTAATCTCAGACATTTTGACTGGGGTTAGGTGGTACCTCATTGTTGTTTTTATCTGCATTTCCCTTATGATGAGGGATGCTGAACATTTTTTCATATACCTTTTGGCTATTCATTCATCTTTAGAGAGTGTTTTATTCAGCTCCTTCTCCCATTTTTTAATAGGGTTGATCATCTTTTTTCCAATCAGCTTTTTTAGTTCCTTGTGTATTCTGGTTATCAGTCCCTTATCTGATGCAAAATTTACAAAAATATTTTCCCATTCTGAGGGCTGTCGATTCACACTAATTACTGTGTCTTTTGCCATGCAGAAACTTCTTAGTCTGATGTAATCCCACTTGTCTATTTTGGGGATGATCGAATGGACTTTGAGCGTCTTATTTAACATCCTACACCAATGTGTCCCAGAGTTTCCCCAGTGTTTTCCAGGAGCAGCTTTATAGTTTGAGGTCTTAGATTTAGTTCCTTGACCCACCTTGACTTGATTTTTGTCAAAGGTGAGAGGTAGGGGTTCAGATTCATCTTTCTGCAAGTGGAAATCCAGTTTTTCCAGCACCATTTGCTAAAGAGGCTTTCCTTTTCCCACTGGATTGACTGGTACCCCTTGTCAAAGATCAGTTGACTGTATGTTTGGGTATTTATTTCTGGGGACTCTATTCTGTTCTATTGGTCCACGTGTCTGTTTCTGTGCCAGTACCACGCTGTTTTGATTACCGCAGCTTTGTAGTATATTTTTGGGTCGGGGAGTGAGATGCCGCCCACTCCACTCTTCTTGTGTATAATTGCTTTGGCAATACGGGGTCTTTTATGATTCCAGACAAATTTTATGATTGTCTTTTCTAGGTCTGTGAAGAATGTGTCTAGTCCTTGTCATTTCTTGACTTGTAGATGCAGCCTTCGAATCTCTGCCTCTGTCTTCACATGAACTTCCCCTCTCTGTACCTGTCCCTCCATATGACCTTCTTATAAAGATACCAGTCATTGGATTTAGACTTTACTGTAATCCACTAAGACCTCCTCTAATGCAGTGATTTACACTGCAAAGACTTGATTTCAAATAAGGTCACATTCTGAGGTTATGAATGGACATGGAAGGATATTCAACCTTACACAGATGTATTGCAAACATTTTCTAACCCCACAGATTGCCTTTTCACTCTCTTGCTATATTTTCTAATGACTAGAAGTACCTAATATTAATATAGTCCAGTTTATCAACTTGCCCCTTTAAGGTTAAAGTTTCTTGTATCCCATTTGTGAGCATCAGAGTCCCCAGTATACTGTAGTAGTTCATGAAAGTAGACAGTGGTGTGCCAGGGGCAAACTGAAGGTACAGCAAAATTCAACCAGAGGAGAGAACACTCAATACAAACAGGACAATGGCTGCACCAGGGTGGTGGAGCCCAGCCCACAGCCCCTTGGCATTCACTACTGTAAGCCACAGGTTGATTCCCAGGGACACCTGTGACTTTCTGATCACAGAGCATCCTTGTTCTGCTCATAGGACAAGCCAATAGTGTGGGATGCAGCCCTGAACCAGTGACAGGCAGGGGACTGGGGGCAAGAGGGTAAAAGGCTTGTTCTTCCCTGTGCCCCAGAATCTCACACCTTTCCCTGGAGGTGCCCCACCACCAGCTGCCTGTCCCGACCCAGGGGGGGACAGCTGAACAGGTTTCCTGAGTGAAGGAGTGAGAGCCGGAAAAAGCGGCGTAGGGTTACAACACAGAGACGACAGTGTCATCCATTTATTGTGGGCAGCACGGTACAGCACAGAGACAACGCAGTGTCACAGCTCTTAAGGGTCGCGTCGTCTACCGTGAGCAGCACAGAGACGACGCAGTGTCTCACAGCTCTTCAGGGTCGTCCGGAGACGATGTAGTGTTACAGCTCTTGAGGGTCTCCCAGGTCGTCTGGAGACGATGTGGTGTCAGCTCTTCAGGATCTTCAGGGTCGTCTGGAGACTATGCGGCGTTTCAGCTCTTCAGGTTCTTCAGCCATCGTCTTCCTGGTTGTCGTTGTTGTCTGGCTACTGTGGGCCAGGCATCGTGGTTATATACACTCTGGTGGGTTGTAAATGGTGGACTGCGATTGGTTGCTTTTGGACCAATCATGAGGTGCCAGATATGCAAATTTGAGGGATTCTAGTGGCCAATCAGAGCAAAGTTTCAAAGGTCAGGTTTTTTTGAAGGGAATCAATCATGGTAATTGTTTGCTCCCTGAGAAACCTTGGCAGACTCACAGGTGGGCAGCCTCCCACAGCTGCCCTGGGGCAGTGACTTGCCTAAGAACTCACCGTATATTGGTGCCTTTCCTTTCCTGCCTCAATTTCCCCTTTCTCTATCGGGGTGTCCTGCAGTCACCTCCCAAATAAATTACTTACACTGAAATCTTTGTCTAAGAGACTACTCCTTGTAGAGAAATTCAAGTTAAAATAGCCTTCACATCTAATGAAATCTCAATTTCCTTGTCTTCTTAAAGGAGAGAAGTGGGGATTTTTGTATAGAACTGTGTTACATAGACTTCAGTCAAATGTTAAAAAACAAAAACAGAAACAAAAACAAAACCCACTTTTTCACAATCAGAACCACCTTTGGTTGGGGTAGGTTAGATGTTGAGTTCTCTGTCTTTTGAAATAGTCAAAATAGTCTAAATGCCTGTGAAGAGTATTATAAAAGGATTGGGCTAAATGGTACTTAACCACCTCTCCCTGAAAAATTTTATGGCTCACTATGGCCTGTGACCTTTTACTTTACTTTAAACTCAGACTTTTAAGGGGTCAGTAGTTGGCGTAATGGCTATGTTGCTGGACTCCCATGTAGTCAACCACAGTTCAAGTCCCAGACCCAGTACCTTAAACTCACGCCAGGTGCATGTGCGCCGTGTGTGTTGGCAGGTGATTTCTCGCTTTCTGTCTCCCTGTCTCTCTGGTGAGTGCACACACCCTATAGCAAAAACCAACCCCTAAAAAACACACACCCAAACACCCCAAAAAAAAAAAAAAAAAAAAAAAAAAAAACTCAGGCTTTCAAAGCCCTGGGCATGTTGGAGGTGGCAATATCTGAGCATAGGGTCAGGAGACAGGGCACTGAAAGCCCTGGTCTGCCTCTCCCTAAGATGCTCCTGGTAGATGTTAATGGCCTTTTCTAAAAAGCCCTGGGCATGTTGGAGGTGGCAATATCTGAGCATAGGGTCAGGAGACAGGGCACTGAAAGCCCTGGTCTGCCTCTCCCTAAGATGCTCCTGGTAGATGTTAATGGCCTTTTCTAAA